TTTTCTTTATTAGCTTGGCTATATATGATCATCATTCATCATTTTCAAGAGTTTGTGCTTTTTTTAATTTTATTTTATAACTCAATTACATAGGTTAATAATGTTTGTGTAATTTTTAAAAATTCGTACTCACTAATATGAAGTACACGCGCAACGCGCGTACTCTGAAGCTAGTATATATGTATATATGAATTGACACTTACTACATATATAAATATGTGCCTAAAAATATTAAAGATTTAGATAGACATAAGTATACATTAAAAAAAAAAACATAAGTATTTCATATAAGTATATTTCTTCACTTCTTCACAAAGCACCTATCACCATTATCAAATGGCAAAACAAAAAAAATCCTTATCCTAAAGCTTCACGCAATAGAGGATTGAAGGGCCGAAAACCCATTGAAGAAAAAGGGATGGATTTTTATGCTGAGGATGGTGATTTTGATGAGATCATAGTTGATACCATCAAGTATTACAACTAGAAAATTTTCGTGCACCCTCTTGGAGATTTCTGTCTAGACCTTGTTCTAGAGTTCTACAAACAAAGATCCAAATTAATATATTGTTAGAGGAAGACAATCAACTTCTCACCTGAAAGCATGGACCAACTTTTTGGTCTAGAGTCAGTTAGTGATGCTTTTGATGCATATCCTTTCCGCAACACCTAATGGGAAGGAAGTTGAAGGGAAATTGTGTCCATTTGGTGCCCATTGGGCATTGAATCCTAATGGAACGCGATTGGAAGATATATTGGCTAAAGTAATAGTCCATGAGTGACCTTCATAAGTAGTAGATTGATACCAAATACAAATAATTCATTAGTTTAACTAGAGTATTTCTCCATTATGCCATCTGCACTCATATGCCACTTAATGTTGGAAAAATATTCAATATCAATATCAAGGCATGTGTAACTGACTCAAATGTGAGGAGTATTTTCTTCACTCCAACAATAACATCTTTGTTAAAATACTTTGATATATACCTACTCCCCTAAATATTTGTCACAGCTTCTTCAAGAATGATTAGTAAAATTATTTTGAGCAAATGTGACAAACTAATGGTCCAAAAAAAGAACTAGGCAAAATAAAAGACCAAGTCAAGCACGCCCTACCAAATGTACAACTGGGAATTGTGAGACAACTAATGTACAACTGGGAATTATGGCAATTGGCAATTCAATTGGATGGACTGGTACATCAATTTGCTCAAGTTGATGGAAGAATTGATATATTGGAAGAAAAGATGAAAGATAGGATGCGTAGATTGGAAGACAAATAGAGCGGAGGTTTCATGGAGTTGAGAAAAATGCAAGACACAGCGTACGATTTTACTGTGATCTGTGAATTTTCTAATATGATGCTCACTATTGGTGGATCTCGGGAATTTCTTTATTTGCTAGATTTTCTGCCATTTGAATGGGCAGATCCATCAAAGGCAGCTTGGGAATTCCACAGATTTTTAACCAAGCTACCTTAGAAAACCAACAACCACTAGCTAATGAAACGCCACTGCTACCACTGGTTGTACCAAATGGTTCAGATCTAATGTCAACACAAAGCAGTAATTTCTTTAATAATTTTTCCAGATCTGAACAATATCACTGCTTTTGATGACCTTGCAGGTATTTTTTCACCTCAAAAGGTAAACCATATATGATAAATGAAGGTGATCGACATAAAAAAAAAAGAAGCAAAAAGACCACGAGAAGTAGCTAGGAAAGGAAAGGAGATTGTGACAGAGGCAGAAGCCTCTTCAGATACAAAAGATAAGGACTATCTGGTTGAGGGGGAATGAAAGAAGAATGGCATCTCTCTCACGCGGCATAGTACATTGAGACTACTGTACTATGCTCATACAATCTCATGTTCCATTGCATTTTTTGGGAAATGCAATTCTCACACCCTGTTATCTCATTGTTCGTATGCTTTCCTCATCTATCCAAAATCAAGTTCACACTATTTTGTTTCCTCACTCATCTTTCTTCTTTCTTCCACCTCGTGTAGGAGTATGTGTTTTGTCCATAACCTTATTCCAGAAAAAATAATTTAGCCCCTCGTGCTCATTGTGTGTTTCTAGGTTAATTGAGGGTGCAGAAAGGATATCGGTGCTATTCACCTGACTTCTAGCGGTATCTTATATTCGCCAATGTTACCTTCTTTGAATATCAACTATACTTCACAGGTCTAGCTGATCACCTAGACATTTTTGAGGTGTTAGTACTTTCATCTTTTTGGAGATTCTATCACCATCTCTCCACAATCTTCTCCCACAGCTCCACCACCTACAACACCTTCTACAACTCCACTACTCTTGATGTATCATCACCGTCAACATCCAACATTAGGTCCAGATAATTCACGTCCTATACTAGATCCTTCACCTACTGAGGACCTAAGTTGCTCGGACACGGGAGCAGATCTAGAGATCGGATCCTTCAAAATGTAAATTCTAAGATTCGGGGACATGGATCCTAGTACGGATACGAGTGCTGGGATCCAGCTAAAAATAATTCAAAAAATAAAAATATCTCTAAATTATGAGAAATTTTGTGGAATACTTACGTATAACTTGTAAAGTGTGGATTTATTTTTATTCTCAAGTTGTAGATAAGTAAATGATTGATTTCTTAGATAAAATATGCTATTTTCTTCAAATTTACCCTAGTTTTGGTTTTGATTTCGGGAATCAAATTGTATCTCGTCTGGAATTTTTCCCTCCGTCGTGGTCAAAGTACCCAAAATTGTTTGACCAAATCCAGTACGAATCCCATACCCACACCCATACTAGTGTCGTGTCGTCACGGGTGCGGCACCTAAACTGCCGTGTCGAAGCAAATTAGCTGAGGACTTGTCTCCTCCTAGTCCTCCAACTTCTCTTCGAAAAGGTATTCAATCCACTATTAATCCTAATTCTAATTATATTGGTTTGAGTTATCATCATCTATCATCACACTATGATGCCTTTATGTCTTGTTTGTCCTCCGTTTCTATCCCTAAGTCGATAAACGCTCTCTCATCCTGGATGGTAACAAACTATTTGTTCTTCGTCCTTTTTTTCTATCCATGGTTGATGTTTTCCATTGACCTCTTTATCAATTAGACATTAAGAATGCTTTTCTCCACTACAATATTGAGGATGAAGTATATATGGAGCAACCACCTGATTTTGTTGCTTAGGAGGAGTCTAGTAGTCTTGCCGGATGCGTCGATTCTTATATAGTCTGAAACAGTCGAGAATGGTTTGGTAAGTTCAACACAGTTATGTAGGAGTTTGGTAGACTCGCAGTGAGGCTGATCGTTCTGCATTTTATCGACATGCTGCTCCAAATTTGTGTAGTTATTTGGTAGTTTATGTTGATGATATATTCATCAGGGGCAATGATCAGGATGGTATAACTAAATTGAAGCAACTTCTCCTTCATCACTTGCAGACTAAGGATTTAGGCAGGTTGAAGTACTTCCTAGACATTGAGGTCGCTTAATCCAAATCAGGAATTGTAAATTCACAACGCAAGTATGCTCGATACATCTTGAAGAGATAGAAATAACATGTTGTAGACCTATTAACACTCATATGCTAAGTTGCTCGGACTCGAGTGCGGGTGTCCGATACGGGTGCAGATCTAGAGGTCAGATCCTTCATGATCTAAATTTAAAGATTCGGGGGTACGGATCCAAGTACGGATACGGGTGCGGGGATTCGGCTAAAAATAATTCAATTATTTAAAAATAGAGTTATAAAAATATGTATAAATTATGAGACATGTGAAAAACTTACAAGGTATTCCGAGAAGGAGAAAATATTGAACAAGAGTAGAATTTTAGAAGGAGATAAAATGAAAAGGACTGACATAGAAATTTATATATACAAGGTATTCCATTTTCTTCCATATCACCCTAGCTTTTGATCTGTTTTCAAAAATCATAGTATCTGTCCCAAATTTCTCCGTTGATTTTGGTCAAAGTACCCAAAATCGGTTGACTAGATCCGACACGGATCCCACACCCATACCCACACCCACGTCGTGTCGACACGGGTGCGGCACTGAAAGTGAAGAGTCCGAGTAACTTAGCTCATATGGACCCGAATGTTAAGCTTTTGCCACGACAAGTGGATCCCCTTAGTTATACTAGAAGGTACAGATAGTTGGTAAGTTAAACTACCTCATAGTGACTCGACCTGACAGCCTTTCTTGTGAGCGTTGTAAGTCAGTTTTCGGTCTCTTCGTGTGATAGTGATTGGGATGCAGTTATCTGTATTCTTAGATATATAAAATCAGCCCCAGACAAAGAATTGCTTTTTGAGGATAAAGGCTATGAACATATAGTTGGATACATAAATACTGATTGGGCAGGATCACCTTCTGATAGGCGGTCTACATATGGATATCGTATTCTGGTAGGTGGTAATTTGGTGTCTTGAAAGAGTAAGAAACCAAATGTGGTTGCTCGATTTAGTGCAAAAGCAAAATACCGTTCAATGGTTGTGTCAACTTGCGAACTAGTTTGGATCAAACAGTTGCTCGAAAAATTAAGTTTTGAGAAATCAGTCAGATAAAACTTATGAGTTATAACCAAGCTGCTGTTTTGCATCAAATCCAGGGTTTCATGAGAACTAAACACAAGCTCGACTATCACTTCATCACAGAAAAGATACTTTAAGGAGACATTGTTACAGAATTTGTGAAGTCAAATGATCAGCTTGTAAATATTTTCGCCAAGTTCCTCACTTGTTCTCGTATCAGTTACATTTGTAATAAGCTTGGTACATACCACTTGTATGCAACTTGGGGGGGGGTAAGAATATTGTAAATAATACTGTATGCTCCACTCGTCCCAATTTATGTGATGCTGTTTGATTGGACGGGAGTTTAAGAATGAAAGAATATATGGATATAAATCATCATCTCATTTAGGGTAAATTGAGAAATTTAAAGTAAATTGTTATTAAATCTAAAAAGGAAAGAGTCACATAAATTGGAATAGAGGGAGTATCAATTATGATTAATTAGATTTGATTTGATTGATTGTGTAATTAGGTAGAATATTTTCCTTCCTATCTTAGCACTTATATTCACTATTTAAGATTCGGTAGCCTTAGGGAATAATCAAGCTGTGTTTTCACTATTTCTTTCGTCGTATCTTCCTTTTACTCACACTAATTCTTAGTTGAGTTACTTGGCATTGCTGTTAATTAACACGATATCTTGTGCAAATAACATGCACCATTAAGTCTTATCTTGCACACTATTGGTTAGCTCATTCATAACTAGGGTAAAAAAATACGGGCTTATCCCAAGTGAAAATTGGCTCTTATGGGAGGGTGTTTTTAGGTCTTCTCTTTCCATTTATTGCATTAGTTGATGTTGCTAATTATTTGTTTTTCACATGTTAATTGCGTCATAAATTTCCTCTTGTTTGTGAAAATTAATCTAAGTGTTTATTGGCCCATCCCACTTTTCCTAGGTAATAGTAGATTCAACCTACTTCTACACTTCACATTTCTTTCTTAAGCGTACAAACTTCGCATCGGACTATTTTCCGCCTTGAACATCTAGATGAAAGCAAATTACCATCGGTCACTGACTCACTGCATCATATGCTTGAACTGCTAACTGTCAGCTCTAGGTTTGTGCTATGAGCAGTTTCTCAGTCGCAGAGATTCTTAGGCGCTTTATGTTTCCTGCTTATATTGATATTTAGTTACTGCTATTCTTAATGCGATGAGCCATTGCAGGTAAGCATTTTCCCTGCTGTTAAAGCACCTGTGGAATTTTCAACTCAGGTATTTTTGTTATCAGTTAAATAAGATATTCTTGATAGTTCTCTAGCTTTATTTGGGTCTGCTTATTACAGCAGCTGTTCGACACCTGCAATCAACCCTGTCTTTTGAGTTATTAAAATCTTTAGTTGTCTGACTTTGGTATGATTGTCACAGGTGACTTCTGGGGATTATATTTTGTGGAACACACTAGGAAAATGTCCTGTTGCTGCCACACCCAAAGCATAGAGTTGCAAAATATATTGTTGATATATCTGTTAGGAGCAATGACAGACGGTTATCTTGTTGGATGGCTGCTGAGTTTGAGAGGCAAGCGACAAAGAGGCTGTATGCAAAAGAGATGTATAGTGGGACCATTTGGTGACCAGTTCCTCTTGCAGTTAGATTGCACAAGTGGGAAGTGGATGACTCATGTTTCTTGGCATTTGGTATTTGTGGGACAAGATTATTTAAGACGTGTACAACTACTTTTTGGATACTCAGGTCACACATAATTAGTTAGCTGTATAGGTTATGAGAACTAACTGCATACTTGCTTGTGTTGTCTTGGTGTTTCTATTAGGTGAAAGAGACTCTTCCTAGAGAGACTGAGTCTCGTGCCTTCCGCTGTTACAGACATGCTTTTGCGAGAAACTTGATCAGCAGTTTTCCCCTTGCTTCATTCGAATTTTATAAAACTGGAAAGATGCTGAGATTTCTAGCTCTAAGAAGTGTTTGGTTACTGGGTCTCGTACCTCCCGCTGTAACACACATTTATTCGGTGTTTGGTTATCGGTATTAGCTCATAGTGGTTTATATTTTATACCATATTCTTGGTATTCTTTATCCTACATTGGATGTGGCATAATAATCCCAGGATTATAATCTTCCGAACCAAACAACCCCTTAGTGAATTGCTTTTTATTCGTGGGGACAATGGAATTCTAAGAATTGGATCCCTTGACTGAAAGGGTTCTCTGTGTTGTAAGATAAATCTTTGTAAGCCTAATATATTCTGTTGTTAGCGTTAAGGATTCATGAAGGAAACATTCAAAAATTAACAGTTTACCTTTACAATCAAGAACAACGAATGTACAAAGCCTAATAAGGGGAGAACAATTAAGTTCATTCACTTTCGTGAATTCCTTTTCTTAGCTATCGATGTCTAATATACCTGTAGACTCTTTTAGCTTCATTCTTTAGATTTACAAGGCCTAAGGATTCTACATTTCAAGCCTTAGGACTATTAGCTGTAATCTTAATCATTCTTCCCTGACAATGTCTTAGAGGTGCAATTATATTGCAGCTATGTTGGTACTTCTTGCACCATTTCATTTTCAAATGCAGCAAGTTCTCTTTCTATCAATCTATCTTGAGTTCTATTCAGTTCTCTCTCTCTCTCTCTCTCTCACTCTTCTAATGCAACTCTGGTTGAACGATACAGATCGTACGGGGCCCACAAGTAATCGATGGTACAGGGCTTTCGAGCATCCAGTCTCAACCATGGCTTACCCTTGCCACTCCAATGCAGTAGGCTTATGGGTCCAGGGTGAAGTCCCCTACATTTGCCTTCAAAATTGTCACCACCTAATCCATGTTGGTTCCATCTATGATCAACTGCCTTAATGTTTCCTGCAAACACAAGCAAAATTGGAGGCAAAGATCCCAAATGGTAAATTCTTCTTTGCTTTTGTATTAACATCCATTCTTCAACCTTTTGTGTGTACCCTCCTTTTCTCCATTCATCAAGATTCATCACCATTACACCTGTGTTGAAGTAACATGTCTGTCTTCCCTCAAATGTTTTCGCCAAATTCACGTCTGACCAAAATGTGTATGTAAAATAGTTTGTAAAGTTTGCATGGCAATATTCAGGCGCTGCCAAGACTTTGTCTCCTAAATCCACTCCCCATAACTTGGCAATATCATCCACAACAATGATATCTGAGTCTAGGTAGATGACACGGTGCACGACCTCAGGGAGAATATCTGAGAGGTAAATTCTTGCATAATTTAGAGGTTGATCCAAGGCTTGTCTAATTGACTTGGATATCTTCCCCCTAACACGATTAGGATGAAAGTGGTAGATTTTGTAGCTTAGGTAAGGGAAAGTGGAGTTGATAAGGGAAATGATCTCAGGCTCAAGATGAATGGAAAGGAAATGAAAGGAAGTGTTTTCTGGGCATGTTGAATGTTGCAAAATAGACAATACTGCAGCCATAGTGCCCCTAATGTAATTGGCATCAACAGGCATTACTATTTGGATTTTGTCTATGTCACGTGAGCTGCATGCATTGCCATTGCGAAAGGCAGGCGCCTCTCGGAAGGAAGGAATGTCATCGGAGGTAGGTTTTTGGATGGCAACGACGCGAATGGCGTTAGCAAAAGAGGAGGAGGAGGTGGTGGTGGTGGTAGGATGTAAGAGGAGGAGGGAAAGGATGCCTAAGATTGGAAAATAGTTAGAAGAAGAAGAAGAAGAAGGGACATTTTTGTTCCAAGAGGCCATCCTTCCTTAAGCTACATTTCTTGATTTTTTTTTTCTTGGGCTAATAATATGGATGTCAAAAGAGCGGGAGAGTCTTAATCCGTGTTCAATACGTGCTTGACTAACTCAAAAGAAAGTAACTTTTAGAGAGAAAAAAGTGGTCATTAAACGAGGTTGTTAATGGAGTTGTTTTAGTGCTAATATAGATTAGTGGTTCTACATTTAAGGTGTACAATAGAAGTGAAATTTTATCATGAAATGTAGGGATGACCGATACTTTTGCAAATACAACCATTTATTTTCGATGTCCTAAATTATTGCCCCATGCAAAACCTTTTACAAGTTACATGTTTCTTAGGATGCATCTTCAGAGTATCANATATTAAAAGCACCAAGCCCCTTAGCGAAATGTCGTTCGTCTTTTTTACCCTTTAAAAATAGATTTCATATTGGATAAAACAGTCATTTAATTAATTCCCTAATATTTAGAACTTTACAATTGACTAAAATTTTGATTACTAAATGTTTCCTTATTTGAGGTAAGTAAAAAGTCCAAATTTTTAGGATTTTAAAACTAATTGGTATTTTTCCATACATAAATTCTTTCCTTGTTTAAAGTCCATATATAACAAAATTTTAATAATTTTCATATTACTTTTAGTGGATGTAGATTCTATGAAAAATAGAGTAAAGTAACGTGTGTTTTAACAAAATTAAAGTAATTAATAGATCATGCTACTTTTATGCCTAATATTTAAAAGGTCTTTAGGACTTTAAATAAGTAATATAATTTTCCCACATTTAGTTCTTGTATAAGTTTTAAAAATATCAACTACGACATTTTGAAATATATATACTAAGAAAATTTTATCATGAATAAAAGGTACAAATTTATATGTAAAATATAATGGTTAATACTTTAAAAGTTATCCCTTTCTTGCACCTAATATTTTTTGTTAAATCTTTATATTGGACTTTAAAACCAATTAATTTTTTTTAATTATCTTACATAAATTATTTATTACTGGAATAATGTAACATAATTATAATTTCTTTTATGTTATTATATGTGAACTATAATAGTTCATATTATATTTGAACCATTTTCTCTCAAAATAATACTTTTCTATTTAGTAATTTTCTATGTATAATATCTTTAAAAACTACACTCAATAATTAAAACAAATGACTAAATTAATATACAAAAAAATATAAAAGATATATATAGAGAGAGGACAAGAGAGAGAGAGGGCGAGAGACGGGGAGGGNNGGGGGGGGGGGGGGGGGGGGCTAGAAAAGTATTTGGTAGCACTAATGGTTCTGCAAATATAAATATCCAAAAGTAAAATACAGATCGATATTTTTATCCCTTAAAATAAAACTTGAATAAAATTATAATTACAGTTAAATATTTAAAAATTGAGATGAACTAATACAAAGAATTTAAATTAAAAAAATAAATTATTTTCTTTAGTGTTGAGAATAAATAATTAAGTTTTTGAATTAACTAATTAACTAAATAATCCTATCCAATTTCTTTCTAAATTCATCATATTAGTAAAAAAAAAAATCAAGTTGAAAAATCTTAGGATACATAAATTTGTTTCAACAAAAAAAGCATTGGTGGTTAAAGCAATCAGAAAATAAAATAAAATCAATTATAATATAGTATTAAGAGTCAAATTAAAATAATACAAACTTGAAGTAATAAGGATGAAATAATAGAAGATAATTTATTTGAGTTGTCATTAATTTTTTTCTCTCCTTTTGCATTTGTTACAATTAGTGACAACTCCATATATCCTTTATATTGCCGTTAGATATTTTTTTGGTGATGTAGACCTTTAACACTCACTGGATTTCTCTTCAATTATGATAAATATTATGAGAATACTTTTTTTTAAAAACTCTTTTATCGTCTTTGTATCTTTAGAATACATTGAATTGAATGCAATTACTATGTTAATATAATAACATTAATTTTTAGCATTTAAAAAGAATATTGTATTTATTTTAGCGTCAATTGCTGTTTTTAATAATTTATGTCACGACCCAACTAGTAATTGAAACCCATATTCAATTCTTTAAAAATTAACCGAGTAATTAAAGTCTTCTTACTTGTAAGAATTTAGACAATATGAAAAAATTTAGTAAATTAAAATAACCAAGAACGAAATTTAAATCCAAACATTCTACTAGTGTGTGTGCCAAGACCTAGTGTCACAAGTGTATGAGCATCTAGTAGATTATACAAAACAATTATAAAGACTGTCTGAACTGAAATAGACAGAATAAAATTTCCAGAAGAGGCACTAGTTGCTGCTTAACGGCTCAAAAGGCAGCTCACCACTAAACCTATGGATAACGCGGGTGCGCACTGATAGGTCCAACGATAGCACCTGTCTCAGGTCCTGCACAAAAAGTACAGCAAGTATAGCATGAGTACGTAAACAACGTGTACCCAGTAAGTATCAAGCCTAATCTCGAAGAGGTAGAGACGAGAAGTCCGACTTTGACACTCACTAAGGGTCAATAATAATTATTGAAATAAAAATAGAATATCTAAATCAACATGATTCACAGAGTTAACAATAATTTTATTGAATCGGCAGAAATAATTAAATTCCTTGAAATGCAACAATTTCCAATCTATTAATTAAATTCACAAACTGCAATTTAAAATATCAAGGTATCGTGTAATTATTATTATTATTATGCACGATTTCTGCCGATGTCGTACGGCCTGATCTAGAGTGTCGTGTACACTGTCGAGGGACGTGCGGCGCGATCCATAGATGCATCTATACTGCCGAGGCGTTCGGCCCGCTCCACAAGAAAGGAGGACATTTTCTTATGTACCTCCGGAAGGAGAGTATATTTATTATGAGATTAATTAGAGAGGATGAACAATTTTTTTTAATAATTAATTAATTTAAATAAAAAATTAAGTATATGAGATTTTCATCTTTTACTAACTTTCCCTAACAATTTACAATATATTTCACATAATTTAATTAAATAAAGAATATAATTTACACACGTAATTCATGATTTGAGTCCTAAAACTACCCAGACTTTAGCATAAATAGTAGCTACGTACGGACTCTCGTCACCTCATGCGTACGTAGCCTCCACAATCAGTAACAATTATTAATTTAATCACATATGGGGTAAATTCCCTCTCACAAGATTAGACAAGAGACTTACCTTGTCTCAAAGTCCGCTTTCCAGTCAAAATATCGCGTAAAAACCTCAATTTGGTGCCGAAAAATTCAAAACTATCCAAAAGTTATATAAAATAATTAATACATGTTCAATAATTCGAAATTCATCTATTAAATAAATTACCCTATCCAAAACGGTAAA